ATAAAAATCTATAGAGCTCCATGGCCCCAATTATTTTCACACTTTAGGTACATATAGAAGGTATCAAGATGTTTCTAAAAGACTTTCACTAAGTCCCAGTTTTGTCTTCTATAAATCTCATTTATAATTTTTACCTTATAAATCTGTTGTGAGGAATAAATGAAATAATGAATGTGAAATACCTGCCATATGCCTGCACATGGTAAATGCTTAACAGATGCTGGCTATTTCTAAAGCAATTATATTCACTAATTGCTTGTATTATAGCCCCTAAAAAGCTCCACTCAATCATAAAACTCAACACATTTTCAACCTCTTCAGTGAACATTTCCTCCATACCTAAAGAGTAATAAAGTTTGTTAACCGTATCTCCTAACCTGATGTCAAATCTGTGCCCTCACTGTCACTGCCCTAGTTCATCAATTTTTGCCAGGATCATTATATTCTGTTGGTGATAAATACTTATAGATTGCAATTCATTTTGAAAGATGGACAGAACATACTGGATCAGGAAGACAGTGGCCGGAATGGCTAGGCACAGGCTTGCATTCTACACAGAGAGAAAGCAATACGCAAAGGCTTGGCCTGTAGGAATGAACCTATTAGAGAAGTCCGTCTGTGAGCATGAACCAATCCTGCTCCTGAAGGAGAGGAAGGCAGAGGCCAGGACCAAGCTGGGCTGGGTCATGGACTTCTCCACTGCATAGGGACTTTCTTTTGTAACTGATGGGAGCCACAGAGGATTTTTAGAGCATGGTGGAAGGTCATACCTGTGTTTACAGCAATCACTCAGGTGTGATGTGCTTAAAAATGTACTCGATGTGATGGCAGAGGCGAGCCCAAGGCAGCAGATAAGGAACCTACCCATGGGAGTTAAAAACCTTGTTATGGAGTTTAAAAAGTATACATCTATGTCTGTGTGTGTGTGTGTGTGTGTGTGTGTGCGTGCGCACCCACAAGCACATACAAATGTTGAACAAGCCAGTAAAATGGTAAAACTTAAATTACATAAAGAAGTGTAAGAATCGTAGCTGCTAGGAATAAATGCGTCCAGCCATGTTAGAAACGGGCGTAAGGGGGCACTGAAGGAAGGGCGTGCAAGCAGAGGCAGAGAAGAGAGAACATTCTAGGTGGAATAAACTGTTTAAACTATTTTGAACCAAATCCCAGCTGAGCATCATGATAATTAGACTCTCATCCTGCTCTGAGTAAATCTATAGGGACAGTGAAATAGAAGACAGTCAGCATTATAACAGTATTCCTGGAACTTGCTAAATGTAAAGCTGGCCAACAATATTACAGAAAACAGTGAGGGGCAACTAAGTAGAGAAATCTGAACGACAAACAGGTACTTTAGAAGATCTTTTATTTTAAAAACTACTCAAAATTATCTCTATAGCTTAAGCCACAGGCCACTTTGAAAGCAGAGTTGGAATCTCTTCATTCAGGGTCAAGAGTTCAAACTTTTAGTTCTAAGTAAGACACTGAAAAATGTTCCTGCTATATAGTTTTGCTGTTCCATTAGACTGAAGGTCCCTAAAAGGGCAGGGCCTGCTAGACAACAGCTTTGGCCCC